TGCGGAGCACAGCGGCTTGCAAGAGCTCCACAGCGCGCAGAAGCATGGCGACAGGGGGGTGCGGCGAGGCAGACCGCAGCAGCGAGGCGGGCGCAACCGAAGACGGGCGACGACCACGCCAAACAGCCGGCACTAGGGGTAAGATTCTTGTTCCTGTTGCTCCTGTGCGTTAGTGTTTTTGTACGTGGATTTGCTCGTTTGTGCAAAGTATTTCCTGGAATCTTATTGACAAGATGATGAGTTTGCAGATGGCCAGTAATTGTCAAATCAAATCAATAAATGAGAGGCTGTTAATTCTCGATGGCTTCTCAAGATGGCTATACGAGAGATTATTGTATTATTTTTGCGGAGAGATTATTAGCACCGCTGCTGCACAACCAGCTGGAGTAGATGATATTGTGAGCCTACAATTTTTGCTTGAGGCTTATACTTGGAATATCGAGAGAATACGAGATCTAAAGATATGGACATCATCACTTGGTGGAAATTTGGGGTTGCAATGTATCCTTCCTGCTTTATAAAGATGATATTGCATATCCCTGTGACATTAGAATCAACCTTTAGCACTAGTGGCCGTGCACATCGTAGCTGACTTGGGCCTATGGCTGAATCTATATTGGTGTGTACGCAAGCTTGGACCTGTGCCAACATGATAGGTTATTGATCCTCTGAAATTTCAATCAATTTATTTGTTAGGGGACCAATTTATATGTGCAGCATAGCTCAGGGAATATGTAAGGAGAGCTAATCAATACTAATACTCCTTAATAGATGGGGCCCTCCAAGGCGACGCCCCCAAGGGGGAAGCAACGGGAACGACACAAATGGCCACTCTGACCAAGGACAAAACTTGGGTCGGAGAGCCTGAGATGAAAATGACGAGTGAGGTGAAGGGGATCCACAATGATGCCTTAAAGGAGGGCAACGATGTCTAAGAACATCTCGTCGTCGACATCATCTAAAGTCAGTGTTAGCCTTTCCCTCGCAAAAAAAAAGTGTTAGCCTTTCACCTAGACCTCACCAAGCACATCGTCGCTGAATTATGCTTGTTCCTGCTCAAACCGCAATTGCCATGCCACCCATGCATCTCGCCACGGCCAATGACCACCATGACACCTGAAGCCGCATGGCCGCCTGACCCACTGCCAAAAACGAGCTCCGCCATGGCACCATCCTCCATCCATGACACATCACGAGTAACAATGCCGACGATGAGGAGACACCAACACCGCCAACCACCACCAACCCGGTGGCCCGCATCTACACGACCAACGCAATGCACAACACAACCACATCCGAGCCACAACTCCGGCACCTAGGTAAGTCCCAGCCACGCCAGATCTAGAGTAAAGGGCAATCAATTCAATTTTACTATTTCTATCTAGTCGAAAAACATCCCGTTTCTTCTGAACACCACTGACGACCGAGCGCCGACCATTGTCGAGCCAAACTGCGTTGTACAAGATGAATCCATCGCAAATGGGCCACCCCATAACCTCTCATGGCAGCGGTGTGCCATCCCTGGTCACAACTGCACATAATCCACAACCTCATTCACATACAAGCGGGGTGACCCAAATCTGGCTTGCTCCACCTATATGGCTCACGACAGCCTCATGGCGGAAGCAATCGCCAGCCATCGAGCACAGACGCCAAAGAGCGCCGCCTGGACCAGCACCCAACGTGCAGCCTCCCACTCGCGAAGTTGTGCTGGCAAGCTCACCCTAGGGCCGCAGCGTCGGCATCCACACGCACATACATCGTCGTAACGCCACTAGCCACACCGTCGACCACCGACCTCTACATCGCCACGCAACATAATCAGGGGAGAAGACCCCATCACTGCACAGGCTTTGTCTAGCGGCGACGCGATTTGGGGTCATCGCCCGTGTCATCCAAGTTTAGACGACGGAAGTCGTGTTGTCATTTTAGGAGAAACTTAGACCGGTATTGTGCTTATTTGATAATGTCCAAAGTGCTGATCTCAAAATTGGTACGCATTTCGCTTGTATCATATGTATATGTGTTGGGAAGACATCATAGACCCATCGGGTTTGGACGCTTACACATTTTTTTGCCCGTGGTTTCTTTCATGGGTTGACAAAGGACGTTAAATTTGGGTTTGGATTTGATAATTGTTCAAACCGAACCAAACCCAACCCATAGCGAATTAGCCCATCCTTAGATCCACCTCTCTAGCCAAGATCGAGCAGTATCTACCGCATGGATGGCAGATCCACTAGCTTCATCTCACTCTCACCATTGCCATCACAGCTTGTTATCTTCTGGCTAGATCGTCTTTAATAGGAGTCTGCTAGCGTGTGAGGAGACTGAAGTGTCTGTGTGCAAGCAAGAAGTCTCATGTACATGCCATGACCCGACAGCTAATCAGGCATGTTCATATATGTATGAAATCAATCTCATGTACTCCCACTGTAAAGAAAGCCACGATCCTCAGTCAGGCATGTACCAAATCAGCGAAAATACTACTATTTCGACTGAAAATGCATCCCCGGAAATTGTAATTTTTAAAGGCACCAAGAAAAATGGCACGTACAAATAATTTCTCCGAACTAGATTTCTTTACAGCTGGCATCAATAATTCACCATGTCAATCCAAACTCTGTGCAATACGACTCCGACTTCACCACAATCAATCTTCGACCTTCTAACGCAGAAGTGATGATGATGATGCCGGTGCGCTGTCTCGACGAGGCCCTCTTTGGAGAGGCTTGTGTGGGGTATCCTATGTGTGCCGCTCAACTGTGTGCAATGGTTTTCACCCAGCTTTCATTAATTAACCAAGCAACTTTCTTCTGCTTAAGTAATGGACGAGGCAAATCAGTTGCCTCTGTTTCAAAGAGAGAAATGCTTCACCATGTAGCAAAAGAGTTCTTGATCCAGGATATGGGAGCACTGATAATGAGAGTGGTCAATGAACCACATCCCATCTCCTCATAGCGCTATTGGGATCCATCTTGTTGTTTGTAAGATAGGGCTAGGTAGCACATGAGTATTTATTATATTCATCTGAGGTATAACGTGATCAGGCATTCATGCCAACCACGTAGTGCACTCATGCAACCAGCTTGTAACTGGTTTGAAGCAGAGATGCACGACAGTAAGCAAGCTAACCATGTGTACAGTATCGTGATATAATAGAATTGATGAAGCGCAAGAAGATGCCAAAGCAGACCCTTATCTTTCATGATGCATCCACATTCCCTGCGGATCAGTTTTGTTGCAAGAACAGATTGTCACTAGCCTTCTGAACCAGGCTCCAGCTCAAAAGATACCCACACAATAATTCACAAATTGGGTGGTCCTACCTTCAGACGTCCATTAGATCATATACTTATTGGACAACAATTTAAAGAAAACCATGTTCTAAAACCTTCAAAGGCAAAGGCAGGTCACCTGTTAGCAGTTACTACTCTACCAAGAGTCTGTTTATCAAAATGTTTACCTCGCCCAAACTGAATACTAGAAAGCACAGTTCATCCACACGGCAATCATGACACGTATGTCAGACTGGAAACATTTTCTTTTTCTAAGCACTATAGCCGAGACAAAGAAAGTTAACTTGCATCTAATTTCTGATAAATAACTCAATAATGCCCCCCCAAAAAATGTAACAGCGTCTCCAAAAAATATTCAACTTCAAGTTACAAAAAACACACTTCTCAAAAAAATATAAGTTAACAAAAATATACTCAAAAGAATAACCAACAAAGCGCCACTCTAGAGAATTAAAGTTAGTAAAAGTCACCATCCAATCAGGTCTACTGCTCAAGTGCAGCTTTTAATTCAAAGAATGACATAACAGCATCTCCGAATAAAGTTTCAACTTCAAGTTAATAAAAACACACCCTCTCAAAAATAGAAGTCAACAAAATATAATCAGAAACAATAATCAACAAAACGCCACTCCAAAGAATAGTAGTTTTAAAAGCCTTTGACACGTAGAAAGCATTATTAGTCCAAACCAGAATCATTTTCCAGATTTCCACACAGAAAGGGCAAAGCAGGATGCAACAAATGAAAATGGATCAACAACCCACTGAACCCGCCCACTTAACCGGTGTTCACTTCTCTAACAAGTGGCTTAAGTTGTGCGCACATATCCCTTTGACAGAACTAAGATGGATCAGTGTGGGTCGCTCGACATGGCCCACTTGCATTACACTGTTGCCTTTTAAGAGAATGTCATTAAAGCACCAACTAAGTTGGGTAAAGGGCTCAAGGATTGCCGTTCTAGTGGAGCCAAAAATAATACCATGTTAAGGCTTTGTTTAAGCTTGATTTAGTTTCAAATTCAAGGTGCCAGCCAGCTGACTCAGTAAGATGGTCGATGCTAACCAGCCCACAGAATATCATTGCCAAGCCTGGGACAAGCATTCATTGCTATAAAAAAACAGTTTGAATCGTAACAGTAAAACTAGTGTTAACAAAGTTGGGCATTCGTGGATTTTCTTCCAGGCATATTGACACGCCGACATGACAAAAAATGCTATTTCAACCGAAAATGTCAGCAGCTGCAGAAGAAATAATAATGAAATCCTAGATGCACTCAAGACTATCTGTTAAGACTGTCTGAGGCATACAGCTAGACTGAATCAGATGGACAGAGTGCTCACCATTTGTCGCCATCAAATTTGTAACAGTCTTTCATGCAAGCCAGCCACTGCATCCCCCTAATCCTCAGTGACTATCCTCAAGTTAGAGATTTGAGATTTCTGCATGCTACCTGTTAGTACTGAGTAGTCTGGGAAAAATTAGTATGGATTTCGAAGGCATGTATCAACTGAAAAAGTACCGCCTGGTTTAAATAAATCAACTGTCAACAAACTCATTTTATATACAACAGTTACCTTTCACATCATTGAACAGAATGTGAGTTAGCACATTTCATTTTCTGCAGAACATTTCCATTTTTTTGGTAGCTCTTACACATCGAAATGAAGAAATACAGAATTGAGCATTTCATTCTCAGTATACTCTCAGTAACCACATCTTCTGTGGCATCTGGTAAAGAAAGGGTGTTGAAGAGCTTGTCGTGCCTTAAGACGCTCATCAGGATCATACCGAAGAAGCCCCTGAAGAAGATCTATTAGATCCCCAGCAGAATGATCGACATGTTGCATGACCAGATTCTGCATAAATCCCATGACTAGAATTAGAATTGCTCAAGATAAAATATCAGCTATCTATCATACCGTAAGCACAGAAAAATGTGTTATGCTGATAAGAGTAGTGACAACGTCAAACAGTAATTACCTGCAGACGAGGCAATTTCCATACTGCCTTCATGCTTTCTCGTGAGGCTGCCCCCTCTGGCCAGTCAAGCCTTAGTCCACGCCTGAAGTATTTCTCAGCTCGTCTACTGCAGAATAGCATGAATCAATGTATGTCAGTAACCATTTATCCAACTTAGCATTCATCAGATGAACCTAGGCAGCAGCATATGCCCGGATGCGCATCATCTGGTATTATCTTCACAGTTCATACAAACTTATAAAGCTCTTGTATACATACTCAGCTCTGGCGATCATGTGTTTGGGAAGGGGGCCTAGAACCTTCTCCATCATAGCAAGATGCTCCAAATTTTCATGTGTTTGAAATAAAGCCTCCCCCTAGAATTTCCATGCAGAACCAAAAGGACAGAGTAAATTTCACAATAACCGGAGATTCACAAATAACTGGCACTAGATATATGTAAAAATTAAGCAGGTCAAGTACAGAATGGCAGCTATTGTGTACTAACCGAGCAGAGCTCAACCAAAATGCATCCCACACTCCAAAGATCGCATGGATAATTCCACCCAAGACCTACAAACAGAATAGAATATAACAAAAAAAAAATATTAAACAACGTAGTCATAAAATAGAGTGCACTAAAGTGAAGGGTGTATTGTCTATTTAAGGAAAACTGAAAGAGAAAAACTATTCTTTGTACCAAGGATAACTTCTGGGGCACGGTAATGTCTTGTTGACACGACATAATTGTGATCTTGATGATCAAATGTTGTACTTCCAAAATCAATAAGCTTGATAGCACTCGATTTTGGAAGGTTCTTGAAAACAGACCCATCCTTGGGTGGGCGTATAGGAATCTTCATGGAGAAAAGAAAACTGAGTTTAGAAAGAAAGAAAAATAAATTTACTTATGCAGTAAAGAGCATCAAGTAACCAATGGATCGCCTCCAAAGAATGAATAAAAAAAGTATACATTCGGAAAATCTCAAATTTAGGCCAGGTTCTAATTTAGAAGTTCAGTACCTTATAATCATGAACCTTGATTGTATCAGGTGAAACAAGGAGAATGTTCTCTGGCTTAAGATCTGTGTGAATAAGCCGCAGGTCATGCATAACTGCAGAGGTAAGAAAAAATAGAATTGTTATGTTTAGGCACAAAAAAGGGTGGGGTCTGGGGAAGGGAATTTTTAGAACCAAAAGACGGAAAAAAACTATAGGTGCTTAACACTGGCATACAGAGACAGAAAGGAACAATTTAGCACATTAGGGCAAGGTTACAACGAAACAGAAATTTGTCTGATACAACAAACTGCAGAATTAAACCAATACTCACATGTAACAGACTCTAATATTTGTCTGGCAAACTCCCGAACAAGATCAATAGGAAATGAACGGTAGCTATTCTTTCGCAGGAAGTCATATAAGCTTGGTCCAAGCTTCTCAAATACCTGAAAAGGTCATTAACTCGTGATTAAACTCTAGGCCATCAATAAAATAAAAGATAAGTATAATCTTCTTGATCCATATGTACTTACTATACATATATGATTACGATAGTCAAACCAATTCCGTATTTGCACACAACTGCAGGCATAGAACCATTCATGCAAACCCATCAACTCAACATAGAGTTAAGAAGTAAATCAAGGAAGGTAAATTACTTACCGACTACCAGTAAAATCATGCTTCCCAAGTCTCTGAAGCACGTCAATTTCAATCATAGCAGCCTCCCGGTATTTCTGCAGGGAACGCACAATCTTGATAGCTACTGATTCTTGGTTTTCCAAGTCCCAGCATTCCAAAACTTGTCCAAAGGTCCCTGTAAAACGTTCAGAAAGGCAGATACTGGGTAAATAATGGCTCAACTTTACGAGTGTGGGAGACAATGTCTTACTACGCTGTAGTATTCACTTCAGAACTAAGCATTCCAAACAAAGAAAAGGGAGGAGAAGCAAACCAACCTTCGCCCATCTTGCTGAGTATCCTATCTGCATTGACACACAGGAAAACAATGAGAGAGCTTATAATTAACTCAAACTGTCTCTTCTGGAGGCAGTGAAACAGAAATATAACATTAAGTACAGCTAGAAGGCATGAAGGCATTGAGCGACTAGCACACATCTAAAAGACATGACCATGGCACATGGAAAACTTGTTACAAGCCAAGCAAAGAGATTCAGAGAAACATTATCATAGTTTACTGGGAGTGATTAATGACTGATAAACCGGGAAATAATTATGCAAAGCCAGAATAACAAAGATGAAAGCCTCATGCCCATATTTAACATTAACATTCAATACTGCGGGCACTTCAGCACTAGAAACATCACCTAAATAAAGCAGCTAAAGGAAGCTAACTGTGTCGAGAAAACAAGTAACCTGTTCAGGCAAAAATAAATACATAAAAGATTGAGCTGTGGAATGTACATCTTGGCGTAAGGTTCTCGCCGAGTGTGAAAACATAATGTCCATCCTTGTCATCCGGCCTCCAAGGGGGCGAAAGATTCCGCGGTGGTCCAGCATAATAAATTGGTGGCGGCGGCAGGAAAGCAGTAGTGAAATTACCGTTGATTAGTTCCTGCCCACAATATAGCATCGGGATTGCCTGCAAAAGCCAACAGATATTCTTAGTAACGACAAATAACTAGACCGATAACGAGCATAGAAGAATTTATTTAATAGAAGAGAAACGGCTAAACGCCTGCCACGTGATTCACGGCACAATGACCACACGTCGCCTGGCGTCCTTCGAATTCACTGTCCAGTAGAGCAGCTCATCAAGTAACGCTCGCGAGTTCTTCCAAAAGATGGGACATTCATTAATCAACGGTTATACGATAATTGTTAACAGGTTTTACTTGCCAGGCCCATAAATTGAGCAGCACAGAAGTTGCATAGTCCCCCGTCTCACTTTTTATCCAAAATTTCTCTATGCACCAGCAACTTGTTCCCAGCTTATTCCGCTAATTCGCAAAATCTCACCGATGATCCGCAACAACCACATGGCAGAACCGCCAAGCCACCAGCCCCGCACCTGGATCGAGCCGTCCCGCCCAAACCTAACGAAACCAGGACTAGATCTAGCCCAAAAACTAACACCTAACGACGCGCCCAGAAGCGGATCGAGGCGGGAAGCCACGTGCACGATACCTTGGGGGGCGGGAAGAGCTGCGGCGCGGCATCCCATGCGAGGCGGGGGCGCTTGCGCGGCCGGTTGTCGGCGGCCTGGTGCGGGTACTCGGCGAGCCACTGCGCCTCCATCGCCAGCGCGCTCGGGCCCTCGATTACACCATGGGCGGGGCCAATCCGGCGGGGGATTCCGGCGCGGTTCGGGGGGAATCGGGCGTCGATCTGGGGAATCCTGTGCGAGGGGAATGGAGGGGACGGGGCGAAGCTCGAGGTCGAGGAAGAGGATGATAGTGGTTTGGTTTCGCCGTTGGCGTACGCGGAACCCTGGTTTGGTCTGTATCGTGCGGGAAAGGTAAGGCGAACTAACTATGGTTAGCTCGTTTTTAGGCTCCGTTGCCTCGGTCCCTCGGATATCTTTCCCTTGGGCCGATCAGCGCCTCTTTTCTTCTGGTGCTTGTCGTAAAATATCTCGGGCCCGTTGGACTCTTTCGTGAGGTGCTTCTGCGATTTCGCGTCGAATTTCGAATCCGAGCTGTCGTCGCAGCGGCAGTGGGTGGGAAAACGGTTTCAACCTCCTTCTGATGGTACTACGCGTGTTCTTCTTTTTGTTTAGAATCTTCCGATGGTGCATTCTCCGGATTAGCAATCATCACCTGAGTGAACTGTCATGGTGCATGACACTTTTTCAGAGCTTGCAATGATTAGTTGTTTAGGATGATAACACGGCTTTTGAACAGTTTAGCTACACATAAGTTAGCTGATTTGAATTCGGCGCCAGTCGGTTTTGGAATGAAGGAAGGAGAAGGAAGGAGAGGGAGGGCCTCGCCGGAGAGAAGGAAGGGGTCGCCGTCATCACCCCATTATTTATCT